TTTCCTCACGGCTGTGTCCAGAGCGTTCTGCTCAAATTTTTCCATAAAATAGTTGGCTATCACTGGACTAAGAGGGCTGCCCATTGCTACTCCATCCGTCTGCTCAAAGAATTCGCTGTTCCACTGAAAGTAGGTTGTGGTTAGACAGTGTTCGAGGAGTTTGGCTATATCTGGTGGAAATTCTCTCGCAACAAGTTCCAATGCCTCCCTGATTGGTACCATTGTGAACAATGAAACCACATCAAAACTCACAAGGATTTCCCCGGGCGACAACGACAACGAGTGCAACCTCTGAACAAAATGGGATGAGTCCTTTATAAAGCTGTCCGTTTTTACAATTTTTGGCTGTAATATTTTAGCTAGATATTTTGCAATATTGTAGGTCGGACTTGGACGGCTCACAATGGGTCTCAGTGGTACATCCGGTTTATGGATCTTGGGCAGTCCGCAGAGCCTTGATGGGAGTGCTTCTGATTTTTTGAGCTTTGCCAACTCCTCGGATGGAAATGGCATATCCTTAATTAATTTGTTTGTTGTTCTTAGTATCCGTGCTGTGGGATCCCGTGTCAACTTCTTGTACTTTGACGGGGTCAAAAGTTCTTTAATTTTGTCTTCGTAGTTCAATGAAGACATGACCACCGTTGCATTGCCCTTATCAGCTGGCAACACCAGAATCTCCTTATCCTCATTCAGCGTTTTCAGGGCTTTTCTTTCACTGAAAGTGAGGTTGCTCTTCGGAGGCTTTGAGCGTTGTAAAAAGTTCCGCCCGCTGATAACGCCATCATACCACACCTGCAAAAGGTTTCTAGTTGCCACCGATTCTAGTAAAGCCCCATTCTGTCCCATGTATCCGTTTATACGATGATACGAAAGTGTCTATTGGTTGCAGCAGTGGCGGATCTAGGAGTTTTCTTGAGGGGGGAAGAGGCGCAGTAATAAAAGAATATTGACTTTTAGTCTTCCACAACCTTTATTCTGTAGGTTTTTTATTGCACTTGAAAACAACAAACACACATACAAATAACAAACAACAATAAATAGTATTAGAAAAAGCAGCAAGAAAACCATATAAAATCTACAGTTTAGGGAATGTCGGTAAAAATAATGAAAAGTATATGCTCAGGGGGGAGGGGGGGCACGCGCCCCCTGTATCCTCTGGTTCAACCCTATCAACTGGTTTGCAACGGAAAACACGCAAAGGCGGAAAATGGGCGGAAATGCACTGCAACAAACGAAAATCTGGCGGTAGCAGTTTTAGGAGAGGTCGTTCTTGACCAGCAAGTGGGGACTAGACGTCTTGCTAGAGATGCTGGACTAAGCCAAAAATCTGTCATAACCATATTGCACAAGTATAAATTTCATCTATATGTGTACCAAGAACTGTATGAACAAGACTCAAAACCGCGTTTCGATTTGCAATTGGGTTACGGGGCAAATAGAAGATAATAACAGATTTTATGTTCAAAAAAACACCTGGAGCAAATAACAAATAATAAAAACGGTTTGTTGAACTTGCGATGCAGATCGGCTGAAAATTTAGCATTTATATGTGTTTAGGTTATGCCTAGAGAAAGTCAGCGCAAGCATAAATAAAGAAAGAGAGAGTTTTCAACAGAGGAAATGGATATTACCGAGAACGAGACGATGAGATACCTAGACGATGAGATATTTTATGTAATGGTAATCTGCATACATTAGAGGATCAAACGAAGACTCGCTTTTTAAGCATTTATATACACTTATACATCACTTACCTTACTACTACTTATAATACAAGGGTATTGGAGGAAAAAAGTCTAAATTTTCAAAAAGTACTTTGTGACAGTATCGCCTGCATTTCGAAATCAGTACAGTCGATTAAATGAAGTTATTTTTTTAGGGACTGTAGAAAACCAACACAGACATACGGTTTATCTCCTCTATTTCACTAAAACATAACTTTGGCATATTCATATTGATCCAATTTCAAAACATTTTAAAATGTCCTCTAATAGTTTATTGCTTACAAATATCAACATGAACGTTAAAAAAATTATTGTATATATCTTAAACACGTGTACATTATGAACAAAAAAGTTATTTCGTTAAAAGCAATATGTACTACATTCAAATTGGCTCAATTTTTCGCTTGATAATAGTTAACAAATAGGGTTTAACATGAGTTCAACAGTTAAACTTAATTTTGCAACAAATTCCAATTCAGTAAAAATATGCATATCTTTCAAAGATGTACTTAAGATAAACATATATTATAGGCAATCAGTTTCAACAGTAAACAATATCAACATTATGTAGTAACAAGTTTAATATGAAACCAAGAATGGTTTCAGATAGAATTTTTTTTAGAAGTACCTACATTGCTACATAAAGAATCGGAATTTTGCGTATATCATTACTAAAAATAACATCTCTGTTCTAATATCTACTAAACTCGGTAATTCGGACTAATTATCACGTTTGTTTAATTCTGGAAGTTTTTCTGTAACGTTAATATCGGAATTTTTTTAAAAGCTTTCAAAATCATAGCAGGGTGTACATGAATTGTGACAAATAAACTTTTAAAAGATGAAATTGATAGAAGCGAACATTCAAAAGAAATATGTTGGCAGTTCTGCATAATGTATAAAAACTACCGGGTGACAATAAAAAAACGAATGGCCACGAATGTGGCATAAATATTTATTAAATTCAAAAGTTTTCATTGTTTTTTTATCGTCACCCTGAAACTGTCACTAAATCTAAATTAAATGGTGGCCCCCGAATTTATAAATACCATTAAAAACAAACTAAGCTGCTACCAGTTACTGCTTGCATAAAAAATACACTAAACGTTCAGGTCAAGTTCACCAAACATTTCTTGAGCCGAGTTAACATAATAAGTGATTTTAATTATTAATAGAGTATAAAATTATATTCTAACAAACTTAATCTACGGTAAGAGATTATATCCATTATAACAAGTAAATAATTACGTCATTTCGGGGCACGTTTCTATTCAAACTTAATAATAAAACTTAAACCGTATTAATTCTTCCAATCATTGGGTATCAACAAGAAAAAATCATCATAAGCAATTATCCGGGTGTCAAACGTCACATTAGTAAACGAAATGCATTGGGCCAAGTGAATAAACAGTGGTAAACAGAAAACTTAAAATATGTACTATTTTGTAAAGCATAGACCTAGAAACAGGCTAGGCTGTAAACAATATTTTATTTTAGGTAAATAACAATTTAATTTTAATAAGTGGTAGATGCTGGAAAATATTTAGAATTATTTTTAAAATAGCAAGTATTTGTTATTTAAAATTATAATTATATTATATATTTTCGTTTTTTTTGTTCGAAGGCAAAAATAAATATCTGTTTGGGTGATTATTAAATGTGTATTTCATAACGAAACACAACGGAACATACATGGTGTCTCAGAAATAAGTGTCCAAATATGGAAAAAATCCAAATATACAAGCCCTACAAACAAGGGCGGATCCAGAGTGGGGGTCATGGTGGTCATGACACCCCCGTTGCTTGTGTCGCCTAATGATAAATTTTGTAGATAATTTAAGAAAATAACTACTTTGTATGATGGCAAACACCAACGTGAATGACATGCATTTTATGAATTTATGCTGTTATTATCATTATATGGCGCATCAGATCCTTGAGTATGAATAAATAAGTAACTCTTAATACGGACCCGATTTGGATCATTGAAAATTCGTTCTAAAACGAGTTATTTTGAAGTCATAAGAGTTGGAAGGACGAAAAGACGATTTTTCAAGGCAAATGTTATAAATATTTTCTTTGTGGTCGCATTTTTTTTAAATTGCGAAAATGAGAAAAAACGATTTTCCGAACAAAATACTTTCAATTTTTTGTCGATTAATTCATTTTCAAAATAGAACATGAGATTGTTGGAAAAGTGGGTTATCCACACATTCATTGCCTATAGGAAAATTTGTATTTGCAGCAGTTTGGAAGAAAATGGACTCTGAATATTGGCAAGCGTAAAACTCATTTTTCCAGAAATTGAAAAACTTATAAAGCCCATAAATTTGGCGTAAAAAGTTGTTGCTGGACCAAAGTTAATTATGATCACCCTTTTAGAGCCAGGGGTGTTTAAATTTTCAAAGAGCTGAAGCGCTGGTTGTTCCTGGAAACACGCTCTTTTGCTTCAAGTTTGGCGGAGCGCCAAGATTTTAAAATGCTAAAATGTATTTTAAGGAGCAACCCAACGGTCAAAAGAAATTTCAATATTTTTTGGAAATTTTCGATTTTTTTGCAAATCGCAAATGTGCGAGTTTTTCACTGAAGGACTCTTTTTTTGAATTTTGGTTTAAATTCGACTAAATTTTTCATTAACTTAATTTTTGCATATTGTTTCGGAGAAAATGGAATTTGAAGTTAGAGAGACTTAAACTGCCACCCGCATTGATTACATAATGATTTGCCTACGCTTTACTCCATTTTGCAAATACTTGCTACATAGATAAGAAACCCTTTTTTCATCAGACAATTCTTACACTTTATTCACACATTCTTAAGTAATTACTTAACAATGCCCTATAGAAGCATTCACTTCTTTTTATTTACTTAGCCCATTGGCAGTAAACCGTTACACGTTTAAACAATAATCAATCTCATTTCTCTTGGTTTCATTAGCTATAAGACCAATCAGCTCTACAAAGCTATCTTCCTCATACACTTTATTCCAAATATGTTTTGTCAAAAATTGACCTACATAATCGGGATTGAAATATTGAGCTTCTTCGCATATTGCTAATGGTACATTCCATATAGTTTCCAAAACTGATGAAAGCACTTCTGAGGACGAGGAACATTTTGTCAAATCGTCTAAACACCGTACCTTGCAATACTGATCCTTCAGTTTAGCTGCCAAATGAGTAAATGAAAGAGTCGAGTTAATTGGCAATACCAAAGTGGATTCGGGATGAACCCGAGAGGATATAATGCTATGCACTTGGTTCGTGATTTTAGTGACGTCTGCTGAATTATTTGGATCCCAATAATCAAGCGCTTCTAGCCAGTACTTCTGAGGTATCCCCTACGTAAGAAATTAAATTAACAAGTCTTATCAAGACAAGATACAAGAGTAAAAAAGTGTAACTTATTCGATAACTGATTATGGATTAGATTCATTATAAGCAATTCATAAGTCCCTGCTATTGATCTAGGTTAATACCTATATAGAGACTCTAATGCGTTTCGTTTATTTTGTTATCTAAGGTATTAAGGTTATTTTGATATCTAACGTACACAATCTTCATTAAGGAAAAAAAATGTTACTTATTAAAACTCATCTTGAAGCCTTGGCGAATGCAGCCGATCTGGACAGAAACTTAGCAATGACCCAAGAGAGGTACTCAAAGCAATGATAGAGTGATTTTTGAGAAGCATCTGGCTCATTCATGCCTTTAGAGACATGCAGAGCAGTCATTAAGTTAATTAAATATAATGAGACCAAATATAAAACAAGCCAAACGATTTAAGGGTGTAATTAATTAGTGATTAAAGTCATGTTTGACAGTGATTATTATTAGTGATTTAAAAATGTATTGATGTATTTAATAAGCTTTTAAATCACAAAATATGTACTACTTTTAAAACTTGCTGTAGCGATCAAACTCAGGAATGAAGAAAGAGTTGAAATGTCTAGCCACCCTAGCTTCGTATATTTAACTACCAGCGCTGCTTTGGAACAGCTTATTACAAAGGACGTTAAAAATACCATCCTATTTTATTAACTAACATATTCAATTGCAGTTTTCGAATTACCGCTAAAAACACGCAAGCGATTAAATATAATATAAATAACAATAGCCTAAAGTTCAACTAAAAACAAAACGGTGTCCTAGTCTTCAAAACGGAGAATGTAAAATAATTCTCTTTTGATAATCCATGTGAATAGTAATTAGTCTGCGCTTCAATACGATAATGAAAATGTAAAAGAGTTTCTTTATTCAATAACTTCATGTCCGAGTAAATGTGTCCATTTTGACCGACAAAATTGAGATGTAGGTACCTCGGAGTTATAAGCAAAATAAAAGCAAGTAAAATATGATTTTAATTTTATCTACTTAAGAACTGTGTCTAAATTACGTAAGGTAAATGAGGGCAATTTTTGACCCCTTACTCCCCCATGTAAGGATCCGTAAGATTTTACAGTTTTTACACACTTACTCCCACATCAATAAGTAATAATTTTAGTTTTTTTTTCATTTCGATAATCAAAGCTTACTTAAATGAAAAATAAAGTAATTTTTCCTTGGAATAAAGTCGTGCAGGGCGCCATTTTTCGCGAGTATATAAAAAGGACGGGCACAGCGCGAGCAAGGAAGTCGAATCCAGAACCTTTTCGCGACACATTCTGGGACGGGAGAAGCGCACCTGGGACAATCATACTCTGCCTGATTCCAGACTTTTAATATGTTCTGGATTAATTTTTGTTCTCATGAATTTTTTAATAATTCTAGGTTCCAAGCACATTCATTTCTTTTCCTAATCCTTTTGCCAATGATGGCAGCAAACGCCCGGAGGGGTACAAGGCTCTGAGGTGACAAATCAACCCACTTTTTGAAACCTTGAAAGCGAAACCAATTTTAATTTGGAATAAAATTGCATCGGCCAAAAGAGATCCTGCGAACTCGACGTACTTCGTCATGACTGGTCGACTTACGCATTAAAATCGGCCAACAGAAGAAGAAAGTTTTTATTGTCGGTGACTCTAGTTTTGGTCTGCAAACCACTCTTTGCGGTCTTATTGATTCATAAATATGCATGTCGTTGCTACCTTGAATCTGTACTTAGATCAAATCAATCAACGCTTTTTTTCTATAAACATGCTTTGCAGTTTTTAACGTTTCATGAATTCTAAAAATGCCAAAAGTTTCACACGATAGAAGTATAAGAAATAATTCAGCATGCATTACCGAAAGCAATTTGAGACAAAAACAGCATTTCTTCATGAAATTAATACCAACAAATAAGTACATACTGTAGATCATCACGAATAATTTCATTACTTTTTATACAAAATACTTAAAATTTCATTCTCGTAGGTATAAAAACTCAACCCGGACATGCCTACATACCAACACTGTCAAGATAAATATAAATTTAACAACTTACCGAGATTTGGGTGATGCACAAAATTGGACGGGAACTTTTTATTAAAGCACGTTGGTTGCTCATCAAATGCGGATAAATGTCGATCAATACTACAACATTATTTCCTCCTAAATTTCTCAATAACCTCAAACAGTTGTTAACTACTTTGGTGGTTCTATTGTACATTGTTCCAATAATGTGTTTGTCAAGACCTAGCAAAAATAAGAGTTCACGTAATAAAAATTTTAAACTGAAATCAAGTACAAAGAAAAATTACAATATTAAAGCAAAGTAAAAAATAGACAACTAAATAAATAACAGATAGGCCTAGATACTACAAATCAATACAAATATATTTGCAAATAGATAATAAAAACAGTTTTTTAAAATACTAATAAACTAGATTGTGATCAATTACCTGTCTTACTCCTTTCGCTTGTCTTGGAAAAAAAATTGTTTAATAAAACTTTGTACTATTTGGAGAACCATGAGGCTACTACTTATCAAGGGCTGGATGTGAATCGATCAATTTTTTTACAAAATTTAAACATTAACTTTCTTTGAATTTAATGATATGCTTCCCTGTAATAATCATCACAAGCAATAAATCTCACCTAAAATATTCGACATTATTTCTAGGTCCATTCCTTTACACCATCCATATAAGATTCGAATGGCACTTCTAAGATTGCATTTTATTCCATAAAATATTGAATGTTTCCTTATTGATTCCCTTCGACAACAGTTCTTACATCTGAAAAATGGACAGTATTGCAAAATCTGGATGCAATTGCTGGTAAAATTGCTGACAAATGTTCTGACCAATACCTAGAAACTTACCTTAACTGATATGAATCATATAATCCGTTGGCTATAACAAGTTCCATTTTATTTAAACAATTTTGATCATGTTTTGAATTCGGACAGGCTACATTTGCTGAGAGAAGTTCACTGTCTATTAGCCATTTGAAAAAGTTGTGACTTCTATCGGTGAGTTTGGGAATAACTTTTTCCTGATAGTAACTAGAGAGATTACCATTGTCCCTGCAAAAAATAAACATGATGAGATGAGATGTAGCAAAACATTTGATAAGTAGCTCGTCAATTGACTGGGTGTTAATGAATCATGAGTTAAAGTAGTTATTTATTCCGCTTCCCGGGATTCTCACTTAAGGCATCATCAAACGTTCTCTACATAAAATAGTAAGACTGATCACACGCTTACTATGTCAAAAATAAAATAAAACGTGTATGCTGTTCACAACCCATTAAAAGTACACACTGATAAAATAAAAAAAATAAGCCAAATCCAGTCGGTTTCAGCGGCTTTTAAAGCTTTTCGAATTTATGTCAAAACGTCGTCTTCAGTGATAAGGTTGTAGATAATTAGAGAGGGTTCATAGTTAACACATCGCGGGTGATTTTGGTTTTCTTTATGAATTTACAGCTTTTCCGGTAAGTCAAGTATTTTCCCATTTGGACAGTCATGTAAGATTGGGATTTTTATCTAAGACTGGAAAAGAGTGGCAGAAGCTAATAAATTGGTAGCAAAACCTGAATTGATCTTCTACATCACAGTTTCTATCTTGATTAAAGCAATTAGTTCACGTACTTTAGTAGACTTTTTTTCCCCGACTGACCAATATAAACAGACGTAAATTCCCCCAATTTAAGCGATATACCTAAATTTGAAGTGTAGTATATTTGTGTTTCTTGCAATTGACCGCCTCCAAAATCCTCCACTTAAAAGGAAAAAAAACGAGGGCTTCAAGCTGCAATACCGGTGCTGGAAGCGCCGATTGAATTCCAAACAAAATGTCATAAGACATTTCTCCAAAACTGTCAAAAAATAACTGTAATTTTTGACATATGACACAAATCTGAGTTTTTTAAATGGAAACCATACTTACTTGATAAATGCTTTATCGAATATAACATTTTATTACACATCACATAACTATGATGTCTTATACTATTTTCCATGACTAACTTAGATCAACTAAAATAAAAAAGTATAAATTGTTCGCAAAGACTTTATTTTCGAAAAAATCCTAACAATGTGATATATTACAGAAATCATAATAAAATGATGTATTCGATAAAGCAATAATCAAGCATGGTTATCATTAAAAAAAACTCAAATTTGTGTCATATGTCAAAAATTACAGTTATTTTGGAGAAATGTATTATGCCATTTTCTTTGGAATTCAATTTCCTACAAATTTTCTATTTAATGTTTCCTGTCAAATTAATATCAACGGAACTAAGAGTAATTTAAAAATTTACCATAAATAAGTTTTTTCCAAATATCTCTTCACAGCTGTCAAATTTTAGAAAATAAAATTGATTTTGGGTAGAGCATTCAAAAGCGCAATTCTTTGTCAATTAAACGTTTTTTGTACTGCTATAGTTTCGGAGATCCTTGTACAGGTCATCAAAAAACACTCACCCTGTATATACAAACATTTCATAATTATTCATAGTATGTGTTTTTTCATAAGCTTGTGAAACTCACGTTGTATACAGAAATGTTACCTATCGAAAAACCCAAGACGAGAATCAAAATAAGAGAAATCCTACGGGAATCCTTGAACTGATTAACTCATAAATAATTAATAAATCCTGAAAATCATGCAGTGATTTCAAGCAATAAATCACTGTTTATAAAAAAAGCGAAATATTCAAACTTTGGAAAGGCGAGCATAATCTGATTGTTTCTTTCCTGCTATTGGTAAATACCCTTTATGTCCGACAGGAAGAGATTTATTTACCTACCTGTCGAATGCTCTCAGAGCTGATTTAACAGAATGACTGGCATCAGACTCCCTATCATAGAAAATATTTTTTTGGTCCCCAAACTGCCTTTCTGCATCGGATGACACTATATACATTTCGTCGAAAAGTTTGTCACTCATCGTAAGGATAAACGAGAAAAAATTGATTGAAATATTTAATAAGCAAACAAAATCATAGAGTAAACATAAACATAATAAACATAAAAAAGTTACTTAACCCAAAACTCTTGGTGGTGGATGTCTGTCAAAGTCAATTGTGGAGTGGGGCCAATCAACAATCGATTCGCATTGTCTGTCTACGCATGTTCATACAACCTTCGCCATGGGCGTCCGGAAGAACAAATTTAAAATTTTTTTAAACGTTTATATGAACGGATTTAAGTACACGATTTTGTCCTGAGTGTCTATTCTTGGCTTTGAGGGAAGGAAGTCTCTCTTCGCTCACCATCCCAGCGGAAAATAATGGTATTGTTGAATAACAGGGAATGCCAGCAGAGACAAGTACTGCTTGTCTCTCATCATGTCATCATTCTGTCATTATTTGGTGCCTCACCAATTTATTCCATGTCATTATCTTCATCAAGAAGATCGGAAGAAATTCTTCATCATCGTCCTCTTTCAATTCATCAGCTTTAGGTCTTTTATGTATCGGCTGCTTCTGTTTTTTTGCTAAATATACATTACGATTTTTTGTTTTTGTTTTGTTGGCAATATTTAGAGAATTCTGAAAGCATTTTTCCAATTGCGTTTTGTATGGTGAAGAGGTTATGATTTGTGACTTGGATGAGTTTTTTCCTCGGGATCATGGTTTTTTTTTCTTTAATGTGGGTATAGGTGAAATATCAAAAGGCGACAAAAAGTTTTTACGTTTATCTAAATTAGCGACATCAGGCGTCTTGGAGGATTTTGCTCTAAACTCTGCAGTTGTTGATTCGACTGTAAAAAGTTCTTTTGAGGAACCTGGTCCTATGTTCTTCAAGTGTGTTTAGGGGCATGGAATTCACCTTGTTTCCCTTTGAACATCCTGATTGATGAGACTCCGTTGGCAAGTCTTCCGCCAATACCATCCGCTGATTCTAGTCAATGGATCTTGCAGAAGTTGATCTGCAAAATATAGATGTATTGCAGGATTTCTCTGCTTCAATTTGTTCACCTATAAAATTATTAATTAAGTTATTTCGCCAATTTGAGATTTTAGAATGCCCGTCCCAGTAGTTCTGCTAAGTTAAATTAGGTCAAGTCTTAGGGCTCGTTGATTTTCAGGTATCCAGCACCTAATTTGTTCGCTGCAATAAACTTTGAAGCTACCCATAAATGGTTTGTCTAAGGGCTAGAACTTATGTGTGGCATGAGGGGGTGCTGAACTAATTGAAATGTAATTTTGTCGAGCTAAGTTAACCACATCTATATTTCTAGTTTGACTATAGTGTCCATCTAGTATCAGCAATGCAGGGGACGTTTTACAAAGTCTATAAAGTGTCTCATCCATCCCGTGGACAGGTTTTGCTGCACCCATCCACTTGAGGGGACTGCATATATGGATCCGGGTGGGGCACCCCTCATAAGCAGACATTTCGATTTTTCTAGGAAAAATCATCACTGATGAGACATATTGTGCCCTCCTGCGCTCATGGCTACAATAAGCGTAATTAGAGATCCGCGCTCAGCTGACTTTTTCCTTTCCGGACGCTACTTCCGCAACTTTGCTTTAAACAATTGGGAGGCTCGTCTCATCAACGTTAAAAACTCTATAAGCTGGAAAGTTGTGCTTACCATAATCGGCTTCCAAGAGGTTGAAGAATTATTCTACATTGCTTTTATTAGATCCTAGCGACCTAGCAAATGAAGTACCGGTGGGTCTTCGCGTTGACAATAAATTTTTATGACGACATAAAAAATCCGTCCAACCAACTACGCCCGGCCACACCGTTGTTAAAGGGGTATTCTATTTCATTTCTTAAAGCTAAATTGTACGCCATTCTTAGCACATCTTTTCTTGTCAGTCCATAATATTTTGCTTCCATGACTAGAATATAACCTGCTTATGTCCAGCAGTGGACTAGGATACGCTGATGATGATGACATGTTTTTTAAATAAATGTTTAAAAATATATTAATTTTGTTTTTGATGGTAGATGGATGTAATCGTATATTTGATTTGATTGATGCAGATATATTGTGTCAGATCATACAGAACTTTTATAAATCATATATTTTATCTACAACTGTTATATAATTACTATGATTTGGCACTCTTCCATATGTCATAATGATGTTTATTACCGCACTAGTGCGCAAATAAGTTCAAGTAATGATCTGCAATTTAATTGCTTTGCAATAGCAAATTGCAACCTTTTGATATTGTTTCGGAACTTGTTCCATATAAATCACGGAAGAACTAAATACCAAGAAGAGAAGCAAATACCAATCTTGATCGGTACCAGAAATGGTGAAGTGAACGAAAGATATAAACACAAAGAACATCGAGCACCAAAGGGATGAGGGTTTATGTATGTTATATCAATTGTATATCAAATATAACATGTATTTTGCTTAATTTGTTAAAATGTGTTAATAATCCTTTCTCGCTTGTTAATTTGAGTATCTTTTGTTCACTCCACCATTTCTGGTATCGATCAAAAGCTTCTTGGTATTTCGTCCGTGGTTTCCCTGGCACAAGATCCGAAACAGCTTTAAAAGCTTCGTTCTCAATATCACATGGTAGATAATTTTTCAGTTTAATATCACATAGATTTTAAATATAATGTCTATTTAATTGAAAATCGATTTTATCAAAGTAACACAATTACAAAAAAGTGAAAAAACGCTACGGTTTAAGTTTTACAGCGAAACATACTATTTTTACAGTCACAAGTGCTAGAAATATCAGTATAGTTATATCAGTATAGTAGTGTAATTCAAGTTATTTTGTAGTTTTTCTTCCATCGTTTCCATCGAACTTTCTTGGCGAATCGACCAACAAAAGTCAGTAAGCATTGCTTCTGACTATTTTAGATTGTAGCGCTTTTCAAGATACATAATATCCTGATAAAACCTTTAAAACCCAAAAAAAATGAATTTTGAGTGACATCCTAAAGCTTTATAAGCAGAAAGAAGCTCTCGAATGATTTGTCGGTAGTTGTCAGCTTTGTATCTATACACATCTATCTATACACATACATCGATATACTAAGGTAAACTTCCTTCACCACGAGGAAGTAGTCTATTTGTAGATGCGATGTTCAGATATACAATCGTGTATTTATTTTTCTTCGATAATTCGCGTATTGATGTCATGCAGAAATAACAGTAATTTTTATTATTTTGAGGTTCACTCCAAAGCATTGGCATCGTAAACGGCATAGATTTATGATACTTTAGTCTTAAACAAAAAAGTTTCTACCCATTTGCATATTTTATTTATACTGTTTATGTAGCAAAAACTACACATTACCTGCTTATTATACCATCATTTTGTAAAATCTTAGTAACAAATCGATTTCCTCATGTTCATGTACCCCAGAAAAAAAAATCCAGTGAAATAGCTGCAGTAGATGCTGAAATAATTAGGTGTAGGTAGTATAAATTGTATAAATTGCGCGCAGCTCGCGCGTATACTTTTCCCGTCAACCAGCAGCGACCACTACCACTTGCCGTTTTCACTCATATTCAAGACTCTGTTTCACCCACTTAACCGCAGTTTAGAGAGAAACTGAAATATACATTTTGTATTTTGTTGCTACTCATGTCTAGTTTACAAATTCATATTTTAAATTCCAATCGGTCAATCTCAGATGCAAGCAGCCGTCGAAAATCCGTTTTTCCAACCCCTGACGGATTAACGCTCAAACGCCGATCTCGTTCCAAAACCGACATTTTTCGCCTGTGTATCGAAAACTACTATTGGTTGTCCAAAACATACCGGGAATCAAGTACAGACTGCCCTGCACGTGATGGTGTAGGTGGTTTTCCAATAGGATTTATGTCCAAAACCCATTATTTTTATCTCTATTGCTTGGCCTACCTTTAGACAACATTGTTTAGGACGACCACATTAGCTCTAAGGTCTTCTCGGGGATTCATATTGAATATCATA